GGGGAAGGGCTACGAAAAGGCAGTGAAAGGAGAGGGTGAGATCGATGGGATGAGTGGCAGGGGGGGTCGAGGAGGACGGGAGGGGCAAAGAAAGGGGGGGGAACGCGAGCCCTGTGGAGTCACGGTGATCTTCACGGTCGTCACCATCATCGACACAATCATGGATGTAGGGATCGGATCGGATCGGCGAGGCACTCGGAGGGAGCACAATTCGCGCGGGCCCTGGCTTTGCGGGACTTCGCAACGTCGTCCGCCGGGTTCGCATTCCATCATCCTCCTCTGTTTCAACACCCACACGATAGCGACTGTTCCAATCGCAGCAAAGGAGAGGGACCGGTATCAACTTAGTGCTTTGTGGCCGCCATCCTCCATTTTGCTTCCCCCGCTTCCCTCCCTCCCTCCCTCCCTCCCTCCTCCTAGACCACCCGCACCCCCGGGACCGACGGCGTCAGAGCGGCCAAGTTCAAGCCCGCCCTGTGTGCCGCCAGGATCCCCATCGCCTCCAGGTAGCTCCTGGCCCTCACTACCCTCCCCGCTGCCAACTGCCTCGGGAACAAGTCCTCCGGCCACGCCCGCATCAAGGTCTCGTTCTCCTCCACCGCCACCAGCAACGTGGCCTGCCCCGACGCCCTTTCCCCGCCCAGCAGGCCCAGGACCGCGGGGCCCCCCACCGCCGACGCCGGCGCCACCACCGCCGAGACGTCCTCCCTCCACAGGGTGCGCCCGTCCCCCTCCCTCCCTCGGTTCCTCCCTCGGTTCCTCCCCTCCAGGTGCGGAGAGACCAGGACCGGCGCCCGTTGCAAATTCGCAAGGACGCAGGGCAAGAATGTGTACCCGAGCTCTTCTCCGCAGGCCTTCGGGCTGATCCCCGCGTCGGCCGCCAGGGGGGGGAGGCCTGGGGCGTGGGCGCAGGGCACCCCCAACTCAGCAGTGACCAGGTGGGAGATGACCGCTTCTGCCCCCCCTACACAATCGACGCCGTGGCCCTCCCTGTAAGCCTGCAAGGCCGCCTCGTCCTCCTCCTCCTCCGGGAATCGGGCCACCACGGCTAGAGCGGTGCAGCCCTCTTCCTCCACCAGCCGCCGCGCGGCTTTCATCAGGGTGTTTGGCTTGCCTACTTTCCCCCAGGACCCTCCCCCCGGCATCAGCCCGAGCCCGACCTCCATCGGCTCCTCCGTCACCGCCACCGCCCCGACGTCGATGCCCAGCGTCGCCCGCGCCCCTTCCACCACCTGCAGGTGTCGTAAGCGCATCTCTTCCTCCATGCCCACGTCCAGCACCACCCCGATCTTGTGGCTGCCCTGGTAGGGGAGGAAAGGGCGGAGACCCCACCTGCCTCCCGCGAATTCGTCCAGCGCGAAGCCCTCTGTGTACAGAATGTTGGGCCGAGGG